CATTGCCCAGATGACATCCCACTGTCTTGCCATCACATCTTCAGCTGCCCAGCAATCCAGGCCAGACTGTTTAACATCGGCATTGAAGACCCAGTGGACCTACTTTATACAGATAGAGCTGCCGAGGTTGCAAAAGCTGTCTTTGACAGCTTCGGAGCTATATAATTTCACTTTGTCATAGACACGACATCATCATCATCACTAAATAAAATACCTCGTTATGGAAAAACAATTATGTGAGCATAAATTTGCGAGATTAATAATTTGGCTCCATAGCTGAGTATCTGCTTGGCATACATCTCAAACCGAAACATTCACCTATTTTATATCCCTGATGCCAACCTCGCGAGTCATTATTTATTATATTTTGCTTTCATCACTGCATGTTTAGCAATACATGACAGCTTCAGTAGTAACTCATGCAGTGATATCTAAACTTTTTTTTTTTTTTATATTAGTAATTGAATAACAAGAGCATGGCAACCTTTTATGCTAATATTATGCTTGGCGATGATATAGATTTTTAAATGCTCTAAGAAATGTTGATGAGGAAAAATTCAACAAAAATTTCTTTTTATATGCTAAAAATAGATTTTGTTAATGAAACTCATAGGCCAAAAGATAACATTTAGTGTTATTTTAATTAAGAATAACTGATATATAAACGGAGAAGCGGTGGCAGAATATGTCTGGACAGAAGAATTTAGGGAAAACGAAATTTTTGGAATTTGGGGAAGCACCGAGCGGCAAAATTAAGCGATGAGAAGTTTTTTATGATTTAAGGAAAGCACTGGGATGCAAAGTTTAGGTGCTGTGAAAATTTAGAATTTAGGATCCGTAGAGACTGCACCAGGCGGTATTTAGCGCAGGGCTGTGGAGTCAGAGCTGGAGTTGCTAAAAAATATGTTGACTCCAGTTTTTGTTGAACAGTTTGAACTTGAAATGAAATTAAAGTGAATTGAAAAAAAAAAAAAAAAATTAATGACAAACTGAGTTAATATTTTTATTTATGGACTATATACATTAATAAATAGTTATTTTCTATTTTATTGGCATACTAGTAAATAAATATAAGGGAGCAGGATGGACGTGATATTTACCATTATTGATTAAACTGATTCATTTAGTTACTAATCTCATTGGTGAATTTACGTAAGCAGCAAGAACTCCCAAAATTGATGCCATTCTTAGGAAGCAAGCAGGAAAAGGAGCAACACAATGGAGAAGTACATATTTGATGATACAGTGGTTGTTAGGATAACAAACTTTTTCGGAAGATGTAAATAACCCTAATATTTCACCAACAGAAAGACTGTGGAATAATCTTGCAGAACTGGAAATCCTTCTTTCAACACTATATATAGCCACAAAAAAAGCTACAACCTGAAGAATTAACAGGAGACGAGAATATCAGAAGATGTAGATAAGCTTAATGTTTCACTAACAGAAAGACTAGGATGATCTTGCAGAATTGGAAACTCTTCTTTCTATACTGTATATAGCCACCAAAAAGCTACAGTCTGTTGAATTAACAAGACGCAAGAGTGGAAGAATGCCATGTTTGTTCTTTCTGAAATAAAGGGTTTATTGCAGAAGGAATCATTTCTTCAATGAAGAAAAGAGAAACTATTTTGCTAGATAATAAGACCCTGTTGGGTTCAATATATGTAGATCCAAAACACCAAATTTTGTTGGATTTGTTGGACAAACAAATTAAAAAGGCAAAGAAAGCCATCTATGAACTTTCATTAAGAATTAAATTATTTTCAGAACAACCGGAGTATTCAAATCAGGACAGTCAAGCTGCAGATATTGCAACTGAGTCTATCATTCTCTTCCACTGATGAATTAGATTTTGAGAAATATTTGGATAAAGGAAAAATTTGGATTTGAAAAGACTAAGGCAAAGCGAATGAAAATAAATAACCAACAGCCTTTAGGTATAAAAATGAAAAAATACAAACAAGATTTATACACGGCCTTTGAAGAAATAGATAAATATGATTGCACTTGCAAGACACCTCTTTTAGAACTTATAAAAATCTATCCTGAAAATCCTGAAAAGTTAAAGAAAGTAGTCCTAACAGTAACAGCTCTTCTTCCTACTCAAATCAGTGTGGAAAGACTCTTCTCAGTTCTGAAGTTTATCAAATTGGATCTATGGTTCTCTAACAGAGAAGATGTTGCCGAAGTTTTACTTAGAAATTACTAATGCCAGTTTTTCCATTTCATAATAAATGCTAATTAATATTAAAAATTTGCTATGCACAAATTTTATTTTGTATAGCATCTATTACTTCTTTTATATTAAAAAAATAAGCTGTACCTATGTGTATACGTTTACATATATATGAAGGAGTCGGAGTCATTAAAATTCCAAGAGTCAGAGTCAGTCATTTTCCATACTGACTCCACAGCCCTAGTTTAGCGACGGCCCTAGATAAAGCATTAAGTATATGTGGGAGTTTATTTATTCAGGACTTAGATTAGTTTTAAGCACGTGCAAGAAATAAACGTAGTTATAGTAAATAACTAAACTAATGCAATTCAGTATGCAATAGGAACAAGACAAAATTTAGCGAAACAACTTGGCTTCCGTCGCCAATCTTTTGATACACAGCCAATAATGTATAATGGACGCTATTAAGCTAGGCTAAAATTATTTCAGTTAATGAAGCGGACCACACTGTTCCCTAATCTTCTTGTTTAATCCAGCTTATCATTTTTTGCACACTCTTATTATTACGGCAATTTTATAAAATATAAGCTTGAACTTTTGATTATGTTGAAAAGAGTTTCCAAATCTAGAGCTGCCAAAGGATCTACAAAGCGAAACCATGTTTTGATGTCCATTCAACAAAAAGTGGAATTGGTGCAAAAAATAGATAAAGCATATTCAATTATGCGATGAGCATGGCATTGGAAGTTAACTTTATATGCCATAAGAAAAAAGAAAAAGGAACTTTTTCGAGTGGCGGAAGCAACTTAAACAACTCACATTGAAAGAAATGTTTAATAAATTAAACAAATAAATATTAAGCTTTTTTTTTTTTTTTTTTTTTGTAAATTTTGATACCCTTTAGATCATAATTGCTCTTTATTTCATAAATTACGATTTCATATTTTTAATTGTATAATTTCTGCATGTCATCTTACCAGATTTAAATTAAATCTAATATTAATTTATCTATTTAAATTAATGATTTTATATCGGGAAAAATCCGAAATCGCCAAAGTCCCAACGAGTCCGGATTTCGGACTTTGTACTGTATTGATCTTTTGATATTTTAATTCATTTTCAGCATTTGATTGCAATTTAATATCTACTATGTTAGATCAGACTATAGTTTTTATTAAAAATGAAAATGATTAATTTTTGTAAACAGAAGCTTCAGTAATAATGTTATTTTTAAATATATTTTCCACATATTATATTAAACAAGAACAATTTCTGTTTTAATAAAAAGGTGAAATTGAAAAATTGAATATAAAAGAAAAAGTAGACTTTAAAACATTGCTTTTAATTTAATTGATATAAAAAATAATATACTTCTGTAATTAAAAACAAAAGTATTCAATTATTATTTTTATTTCTGTTACCTTTTTTAGTGCAGAAACATTCAATAAACAAAGTTGGAAAAAATGTTTGAAGAAAATTATTATAGTTTCAATCACAAATATAGAAAAAATTTATCCTACAAGTGATCTTCAGATTCATATTTCATAAATCGTATTCTGGAATAGTGTCGAACTTGCTTCTTGACTATTGGTAAGTTTCTTCATAGAATGGTAAAACATACATTTGGGATATACTACAAAATGATTCTATAATTTAACATAATCTTAGAGATATTTATGATTAATTTATTTACTTTCAGATACTTCAGAACTTTTAAGTGGAAATTCATTTGATGCAATCCTTTAATGAATATAGATGCTTGAAGTCATCTGCAGAATGAGGATTGACAGTTAATTAATTTTTCCATACAATGCAATGAGATAATTTGTTTTCATTTTAATACAGGCAATTAAATCTAAACAATGAAAGGAAAAATAACAAATTACAATCTAGTCTTACACCTCAAACAGAGTTGACAGTTTAATTTAAAATATAAAAATCATATTAAAATTTAATTGAAATCTGATCTTGGTAAGCAGATTTCAGTTTAACAATTGAACAATTGTTAAACTGTAATATATATTTCATAAATTACGACAATTGTTAAACTAAATTGTTAAATTTAACAATTGAACAATTGTTAAACTTTATATGGGTATATTATATTAAAGTATTTAATATTATATATATATAATATTAAATATTTTATTATATCTTTATATATACTTTAATATAAAGAAATTGCATATAAAATGTTAAATTTAAAATAAGTTGTTCAAACGAGAAGGAAAAAGCATGCTATACTATTATTTTATCTTAAATTAATTCCACATGAAAACTTATTTGTTTAAGAGAGAAAAGATTTAATTATCCAATATATAGCTGTTCATTTATTTCATTGGCCCACCAGCGGCCGAGCACTAAAGTCACTGAACACAGGTAGTTCAGTCCGAGGTTCGAATCTCGCGAACGGGCTGGCTGCATGGGCGTTTTTGTGGTTTTCCCCGTGCGTAATGTGTATATGAGCCAGTTACCCTTAGAAAGTCTTCCACGAAGGCATCCCTCCCCTTAGGCAGGTAGCCCTAATGTGCTTTGCCACAACTAAATACACCACACTACAACACTACATTTATTTCACTGGATTACTTGTGTATTAGGCTTGCAATAAATACTTGTTTCAAGGAGCAACACATTTTAACAGGATACAAACATCTAAAGATATTACGAGGATATTTTTGAGATGTTAGAAAAAGGAGAATAGCAGACTGATTTTTAAATCTGCCGATTAAATGTTATTTTTCTTCACTGTTTTGGTAAGCAACGTTCATAATTTTATAAATACTCAGAGGTAAAAATTTATACAGCAAAAAATATTATGCACCATCAAATTGCTGTTGCAAATATGATGCTTGACAACACCACCTCCTATAATTATCATTCCAGAATTCAAAGCCTTCACAGCCATTGAATTTATTCGGCGTATATCTGAAATAAACAAACACAAAACACAAAGCTAAAAGTTATTTAATTTTTTATAAATACAATTCTCGAAATAATATAAATTATATTAATTTATTATAGAGGAAACTATACAGCAATTAATATCAAACAGAATATACTGTCAAAAATAATTAAAAATACAGTTTATTTATGATTTTGATTTTATGAAGGAATGGGTAACTAATATTAGATATCAGTTAAAAATTGAGAAAAATTTAATTAAAGTTTTAAAATTAAAGTTTATACAGTACAAAGTCTCTAATCCGGACGTCCATTATCTGGAATGATCTATAATCCGGACCTCAAAGCCACAAACTTACGCATGCGCGTAAAGCGTTTACGTTTGATTCGCGTGTCCGCTACGCATGCGCTTAAAGCCAGTAAAGCATTTACTCATGCACGCTTCCGATAGTGAAGAAAGTAACAGAGAACGTTATTGAGCATGAAAAAATTTCGATTGACAAGTTAGTCGGTATTCTCGACACAGCAATTACAGGACTTGAACAGTGGAACTTTGTAACTGAACAAGAAATTATGTCTGTTTATAGAATTAAAGAGAAAGTATTAGCACAAAAAACGAAGCAACTTAAACAACTTACATTGATAGAAATGTTTACTAAAGTAAACAAATAAATATTAAACTTTTTTCTTTGAATTTGGATACCCTTTAGATCATAATTGCTCTTTATTTCATATTTTTAATTGTATAATTTCTTGCCATCTTACCAGATTTAAATTGATGATCTATAATCCAGAAAAACCCCTAATCTGGAATCGTCGATGTGCCGACGAGTCCGGATTACGGACTTTGTACTGTAGTGATATTTTAGGTCTATTAAAATTACATTAAAAAAATATGCACAAATTCCAAGATAAAAGCCATAGCCAGTCATAATCGAAACTTTGGTTAATACAGACTATAATTTAAATAATGCTAATTTTTCTTTTCAATAAGTTTTTTCCTTCTTTCTTTTCAAGTTCTATATGTATGTGTATAAGTAACATAAATAACATTTTAATGAACTCTTTTATTAATAAATCAAATTTATTTCCTTCAATTAAACAAATAATCTAAGTAAAATATTTTTGTGAGAGAAATATTAATGAGAAAATTGGAAAAAAAAAAGAGATATAATTAAAATTTATATAATTTGTGAAATTTTTCAAAGTTTCTTACATGCATTTTTATAAGACATTAATACATATATATTAATATACATATATGTTAATTTACTTTTCTGCGATAGTCCTATAGCTCTATCAGCCACCTCATGATTGCACATTTCTATCAATAAAAGATACATAGGAAAAAGAAGAGGACATTACTCTACAAATTAAAGAGCTTTGCTTAAAAGAATACAATCTGTCTCATTCATTCAGCAAAAATAAAAGTGCTTAAAAAAAAGACAAAGAAGGAGAGAGATTAAATATTTCCACATGTGTGCATTTGTGGTAACACACAAAGCTAAATTCTTAGTTCAAACAAATATTGCTCACAAATTATATGAAATCTTTTATTAAATAGATTTTGCATTTAGTAGGATTGATCTTCCTAATTTTCCATTTAGATCTAAAATAAAATTATAATTCAGCTTAGAATTAAAGCAGGAAATTAAAAGAAAATGCTTGAATTGACATAAAAATTTCTCTTTATAGATACACACGCATAAGTGAAGAATTCATTTTGCCTAGAGCACAAATGAATTATGAATAACCTACTTTTACAATTCGACTAATCTTTTAAAAGTATAATTTAGGTTTTTTGATACAAATCCAGTTTAAACACAAATGCATTGATTTAGAACAGGGTTTCTTAAACTGTGGGTAGCAATCCCCAACGGGGTGCCAAAAATTTCGCAGTTTTGATATTTCTTTAACTTATTATAATAATTTTACAATTACTAAATATTTTTAGACAATGTATCTAAAAATAGATAAAGATAAGACAATACAGGTAAAGAAAAAAGCGAAATGTTTTGACACATTCTTTTTATAATATAACCGTTCATTTTCCTTGCTTTGCAAGTGATGCTGTCATTTCGTCTGTTACTTATTTAAAATTTTCCCATTGTTCTATGTCTTAAAATTAGAAATTAAAGTTAATGAGCTAAAACTGCAATAGTATATTACAGTACAAGTGAAAAAATTGACAGTTTCACTCATGCGTGTGTCGAATTTGCACAATACTCATGGGGTCCTTCAAAAATTTTGTAAATATTATGGTCACGAAAAAAATCTCAGTGATAAAAAGGGGTCATGACTGAAAAATGTTTAAGAAAATCTGATTTAGAATTTAGACATTTCCTTATACAAAACATATATTTATTTGGCATACATTATGTACTTGTTTTTATTTATTTATTTATCATATTGTTACTTGGTAATTTGCATTTCTATATTTCAAATAACCTATAATTGATGATTAGTTACTATACCTGTATGTATTAATTTCCATTTATTTTGTAGTAACTATAATTCTGAGAATGCAAACATGGAAGTTATAAAAAAAAAAATAGCTCCAAAGAACAGGAAATAGGGGCTGCTGATGCATATGGGCCTTGATGACAAACTTTTACAGTCAAAAGTCATTAATCCGGCGATTCCGGATTATAGATCATCAGTTTAAATCTGGTAAGATAGCATGCAGAAATTATAAAATAAAAAATATGAAACCATAATTTATGAAATAAAGAACAATTATGATCTAAAGGGTATCAAAATTTACAAAAAAAAAAAAACAAAAAAAAAAAAAAAAAAAAAAAAAAAAAAAAAAAAAAGCTTAATATTTATTTGCTTCCTTTATTAAACATTTTTTTCAATGTAAGCTGTTTAAGTTGCTTCGTTTTTTATGTGATAATACATTCTCTTTAATTCTATAAACAGACATAATTTCTTGTTCAGTTACAAAGTTCCACAGTTCAAGTCCTATAATTGCTGTGTCGAGAATACCGATTAATTTGTCAATCGAAATTTTTTCGTTTTCAATAACCTCTGTTACTTTCTTCGCTATCGGAAGCGAATTATAATAATGAGGAATTTGATTTAAATCATATCAAAGACGGAGTACATCAAGATGAAATACTACACTTAGTAAAAAAATTATAAGCCAAATAAAATAAAAACATCTGCCCTGAAGATAAGGATAGTGCTGACAGATGAACTTCCAATTTATTGCACACCGCCAGCGTTAAAGATAAACAAAGTTTAGATAAACAAAGGATATGCCTTTAACCATTTTTTGCAGCAATTCCACTTTTTGTTTGATGGACATCGAAACATACTTTCGTTTTGTAGATTCTTTGGGAGCTCCAGCATCGGAAATTCTATTTGACATAATCGAAAGTTCAAGTTTACTTTTATAAAATTGCTCTTACAGTCTGCAAAAAATAATAAGCCGGATCCAATTCGAAGATAAGGAACAACGCAATCATCAACATTAACTGAAATAGATAATTAGATAATTTTAGCCTAAACCATCCGTTATACATAAAACGTGCACGCAAAAATGTATCTTGCGCGTGCGCACACGCATATGCGCAGTCTTACGCGCACGCGTAAACGCCTATGCGCATGTGTCAACGCGACGCATGCGCAGAAAGTTTTTAGCTTTGAGGTCCGGATTATAGACCATTCTGGATTATGAGTGTCTGAATTAACGACTTTTGACTGTATTACCAAGTTGGTGACATATGGCTATTTCTCACCATGTTGCTAACATTTTGAAAATTTTCAGAAATCCATTTTTAACTCTTTATCGCCAATTTTTCTAGAAGATTCTGTTAATTCAATCCACTCTTTAAAACGTAACGAAGCTGATAAGAGCCATAAATAATCTGAGGATTAATCTGGTAATTTGATCCCCTCTTTAAAATGTAAAGTTGCTGAGAAGAGCCACAGATAATTTGAGGGTTAGTCTGCCAAGAATGATTTGCTACAGAAATTATAATGATTTCAGTCTCTGTTATGTAGAAGATTATATATTGTGTTTACTTCTGCTACAACTTTTTCCCTATTTTCTTTTTTACAAACAATGCTATGATTGTTTGGCTGAATTGATACTATACTTTTAAGACTAGTAATTCCAGTATTAAAATTTACTGTATTATCTTTTGTCTCTTCATGAGCTTCTTTTAAATAATCAGTTTTGTTTGTGAAAATACTTATTACATGAAGCTGCAATAAAGGTTTAGGATTTCCTCATCAAATGGGCTTTTGATTCAGATCTTTAAATGTCCATAGCAAAATATTTACAATTATTACCTTATTCTTCATTTAATCCTCGAGACAGTCAAACTACATAATTTTTACAATTTTTTAATACAAACAGTGTGAATTTTGAAATGAGTGTATATCAGAAAAAATAAGTTTAATTATGCGGAGCAGTGGAAAAGACATATTTCAGCTGTAATCAAGAAGATAATTTTCTTGTTGCATTTTCAGAAACATTGCAGCTTAGGGCTAAATCTTTGGCTGACTGTAAGTTAAAGGGCACAATACACAAGTTCCACATTAGAGCAGTATGGCACAGTTTATCCTAACTGGATTATTATAGTAAACTTTCTTATGAAGAGTGCATCCAAAAGTGACCATCATTTCTGATAGCATAAACACATATCTCTATTGACAATTAGAAAATTAATCTCTCAGACAACAAAAGCACAATTAAGACCATCAACCATGCATTAAGGCCACAATCAAGACATCTAATTTTGCTATTAAACTAATATATTTTACATGCTAAACAAATCAATTAGTAATATTTCAAATTTTAATTACAATAGCTAAGCTATTTTTATGAAAACTAAGAGTAAAAAAAGAAATTACAAATCATTAAGTGTGTGACATTTTATTTAAGTTTAACTAACAATTATTTATTTACAACTAATTATTAATTATTATTAACAGAGATTTATTTTTGAGTTTTCTGTTCATGCCTCTTTATCATACATCAGCACAGTCCAAAGGTTTATGTAGATTTTTATGGCAATCGACATGGTTTAAATTGAAAGGATGAATTGTGTCTGGCATGATTTGTAGTTTTGGCTGTCACTACTGCCAGCGGCCTATCTAGCAAAATTTGTTGTTTAATTAAAAGAGGATGCTGAACTTTTGCCACAAGTTTGATATATGTAAGCTTTAGTAAAGCTGAGGTTGTCTGACACAGCTAAATTTGGTAGACAGTTAAATTATTGTGCATTCCAGCCAGTAAATGCAAGTTAAGGAAACTTAAGATTTTGTATTATATCATTTTAAGTTAACTTACCACGGACGAGAAAATAAAGTTAAGTTAATAGTTTACATTTTATATATCTCTTGTTTCTACAGTCAGTTTAAGGAAAGAGCAATAGTTTGTCATCACAATAAAGGTAATGTTTGAGTGCTGGTAGAGGTAGTAACTAGCAAGCCACTTCTAAGTTTGTTATAAGTGTACCTTTTTTTCAGGCAATCTGGTATATTCATGGGATATAATAATGCGGAGATTGTTGTCTTAGAGAACATCACTATCAGTGATATTCAGTAACATTATTTAGTTATGTTCTCAGAAAGAGTGCCAAAGATGGTTGTTTTGAGGTAGTGCCTACTGTGACAGATTTTAGAATTTTTTGTACTTTCAAATAGAGCACAATCCCTCCTTTTTTCTTTTTAAAATTTTTATATACTCTGTAAAACCATTATTTTAAAATGTTCAAGTAATCAATCTGTTAGATCCTTGATTTTTTTGCCAAAGTCATAATATTTTCCATTCGGTAAAACTGAAAGATGTGATTCTATATTTCATCAGAAATTTCATCAATCTTTGAGTATATCCTCAACAGTGAGACAATTCAGATACAATAATTTTATATAAAGCCATACTGATATAAATTTCCCTTATTGATTTATCTTTCTTTCATTACTAGCTAGCTAGGTCACACACACACATACAAAATCCAACATACCTTGAGCTATATCAATAATAAGCCCTGGATTGCGAAAAGAGTGAAAATAAACCATATCCCCAAATGAGCCATCAGTTAATGCAGGACAAAATACAGGAATTTCATTCTAAAAGATAAAAAATCAGGTACACAATAAAGTTCATCTTCAGTTATGAGTACATGGTAGGCAACTTTTGCTGAACTGCTTATTTGACAATAATTACAAAAATGAGAAATCCTGAATGGCAGTCATCTTTGGTTCAGAACAGTGGCAAGGGAAATGTAATTTCACTTGGGCACTGTTTTGTACATGAGAGGAACCATCAATGATGCAATATCTAGAACTAAAGATTAACCAAGAACAAAATCTAAAATACTATGAATATTTAAATACTTCTTATTCTTTTCATATACAGAGAGTGTTTACACATTTTTGTAACGATTTTAATTTTCTCTATGAATTTAAATATTAATTTTAAAATACAAACGTGACTGGCATCAAATTGGAATAAGGCTTCACTATTGCTTGCAGCATTAAAAATTTTCTTTTCTTTATAGTGTCACTGAAGAATAAACAATGGATCGAAGGCTATATTTTTGCGCTGTCCAAAGAGAAATACACTAATTCAATTATTATAAAAAGATTTGAAAAAAAAAAATGGTTTTAATACTTTTACAACTAAAATAAGTGACATAATTAATATGAAAGCAACAAAGTTTACACATGACTGGAAAAAAGGCCAAAACATGCATACTCAACAAAGGTACGTACAGCTTTTACTAAATCTAAAGTTGCATCTCATGTTTTAAAGGGAAATCTAGCCCCTCAAAATGCTATTGCAAAATCTTTAAATATCTCTGTGGGAGCTGTGAACAAAATTATAAAGTCTGATTAAAAGACTATGTGTAGATTGCTGTATAAAAATTATTTGTCAGGTGAAAAATGGAATATAGTTACAGTTGATGAGGCTTGGATATACTTATCTGATTGCAAAAGAGAAAGATTGATTTAATACTGAAAAAGAGGAGAAAAAAATATGTTGGTTCAGAGAAAACAAGGAAAGTTTTTCTAAAGCTTTTATGGTTATTATTGGATGCTCTTATAATAGAAAACTAAAAATAAGTAGAAAAAAATGTCAAAATTAATTCGGATTACTATCAGAAATATGTTTTAACACTTATTTTTAAAGAAGAAATTCAATCTCTTTGTCCAAACAATTTTCACTTTGTTAAGTTCCATCAGGATAAGACTTCAAGCCATACCTCTAAATCTACTGCTTTATTTTTGAAAGAATGAGAAATGAAACAGGAATTGAAGCTATTCCTTTAAATGCATCAAGTCCCCTGATGTGTCTCCTATGGATTACTGTGCATCTGGACTTTTAAAACAAGCTCTTTATAAGCGGCATTCCAAAACATTGGATGGATTCTAAAAGATTGTGAGTAGAATGAAATAAACCTTTATTTCATTCTACTTACTACCTTAATGTTTTAAGAAAAGGACTTTTATCTTGGAAATCTTGAAGATATTAGAAAATAAAATTCTAAGGTTTGTTTATACATAAATCTCTGCAAAATCATTACAAAATGTGTGAACACCCCCTGCATATACGTGTGTATAAGTGTGTGTGCATATGTATGAAGTCACCAACATGCCAAAGTGTTGGGGGGATTATGAAATTGAGCATTCAAGTTTTAAATAATTAGATTTTTTGTTTACAGATGGCACTTCCACAGGACTAATCAAACCAATTTTCGAAATGAAGGAGAAAAAGTACTGAAAATTTGTTTTATTCTTATGCAATCTTGTGCGTTATATCATTATATAAGAAGCAGAAGAAAGCCATAAATTTAGCAAGATTAATCATAAGCATGTCACTATTTTTAAATTAGAAATGGAAGATTATGAATCTGAAAGGAAGATTTTAGGGCTTATTATAAATTAAAATTTTATATATAAATATGCACGCATGTATAATATATATGTACTGTCAGACAAAGAAACTGCTACATCACCAAAAGCCAATGCACTGCCATGCAAATTTCTGTGCAGTGTATAAGTTATGCTAATGATTGTTTCTGCAAATCAATCAGATAATTAGTATGTATGATGTAAGCATTCATGTAATGCATGAAGCCATCAGTTTGGGCATTGTCATAGGTACAATATGTTATTTTCCTGCCATTTCTGGTGCAGGTGAATAAAGAAAATGAAGAAATGCCTTCGGGACATCATAATATTCAGTATCAACAAATGGATGTACTAGGGGCTTTATCTGAGGCCTCTGTACAGTTAATCGACTTTTGTGTTGCATAGAAGAAATATATATTGATGTCACAGTTGTTGGTTAGATTTAGCAGAAATGGACTCGGGAAGGGGTGTAGCATCATGGGGGTCTAGAGTTAAGAAGACAAATGTCAGAGCACACTAATCATTGCATAGGGTGTTGAACCAAATCTTACCCCTGGTCCACCACAGAAGAAATTTGCGAAGAATACAGGATGTTTGCGCAGTTCCAATATCAACGTGTACAGTTTTGCAATGACTGGCTGATGCAGATTTGTTACATAGCCATCTTTTACAAAGGCATTTGTTAACCCCAATCTGTAGTCATTACCATCAGAATTTGAAATAATGTAGCAGCAGAATTATGTCAAAGTCAAATGAAACTGTGAAATCTTCACTGATGAATCTTACTTTTGCCTCACAAATGATAATCAGTTATGAGGGTATGGTGGGGATGTGGTCTTTAAGTTTATATCTCTATCACTTTCAAATGGCATATGACCTGCCAATATGAATAAATGATTTAGAATACTATCTCTAACAGCCATTCATTTCTAGTGCACTTTACAGGCACATTAACAATACACCAATATGTTGTTGATGTGCTGCAGACCAGTTTTCTTACATATCTTCTGGTCATTCCAAAGCCATTTTTCAAAAAGATAATGGCTGGCCACATACTGCTTGGCTTATCTAAGTAACATAAGGTATAAGATATGCTTCTTATAGCCAGCATTATCTTTTGATCTCACCTAATCGAGCATTTGTTGAATACCTCATCTTCCCCACAAAATGAAGGTGAATGCTAGGGTATCATCAGTAACATGTGGTGTATGATATAACTGGACATGATTCAGACATTTAGTTCATTCCAATGAAACAACACGTTTAACAATGTATTATCTGAAATAGAGCAGCTACATTTTATTGATGTCCTACATATTTAAGTATCTTATAAGTGTACAATAAAAGATAAACTATTTGGGAAATCTATTAGGAAAAGGTGAATGCATGAAAATTATGGATAGTTTAGCTCATGAAAAGTGCAATTAATGGTAGAAAGGTAAATGAATGGAAGAAAAGAAATTGGGTCTAAAAATTGGGGGGGGGGAAGGACGAAACAGTATTTTATGTATTATTAGTTTGACTATCAAAAGCCTTTATTTTTTTTTTTTTTTTACCTCAATCAATTGATTAGAATTTTACTGTGTTTTAAATCTACTTAATTCGTTTAGCATATAGTTTACTATTTTTATTTTTACCTTGATCAATTGATTAGTTTTTTACTGCGTTTTAAATCTACTTAATTCTCTTAGCATATAGCTTACTATTTTTATTAATTCTACTTGTAAATATTCAAATGCTGTATATTTCTCCTGTTCGGTGTCTGAAAGAGTATTGCTTGGCAGCATTGTTTTATGCCAAGCAGAGTTTGGCTTTAGTGTAACCCTAACAATAAAAGATACTCAAAATCAGTTCAAGTTATTTCGTTTTTGCTTTATTAGTATGAATGATTTCTGACTTGATGTAAGAGCATATGGTTGCTCGCTCTTAGCTAAGTTACATAGGTAACTATAAGCACATGCGTGTACTAGTATTCAATAATGTTGTTTTTGTTAAAATAAATTTGTTATTGTTAATATTACAGTCCACTTACTGAAGTTAAGTATCATTAAATAAGTTCGAGCTATCTTCGGCAAGAACAGTTTGGTCTCCGTCGAAGCCGGAGAAGAATATGGCCTACTAATATTGTTTCATTGAATCGCCAACGCGGCGTAGTGAAAACGATAAAATCGGAGCTTTGATAAAATTCCTTGATGAGTATAAAATGTAGGAGAATAAACTGAACCATGATGTTATTATGAAGACTTAAATTGGATTCTTTGTTCGGAATTAAAATCTCGGGTTAAACAACCTCATAGTGGAATACACCAATTTGCCAGAGGAAATTGACTTGAAGGATAATCGAAGTATTACACAAGAATTGGAAGAAAGCATCGAAGAGTTCGAAGTAAGATTTAGAATTTTTCTTTCTAATTGTGAAACAAATAATAAAGATAATTTGAAACCAAAACTGTTTCTAATCAAATTTTAAACTGCCTGATTTACCTCTTCCTCAATTTTATGGTAAAATACAAAGATTTAAAATTTTAAAGTGCAATTTATGTCTATGATTGGTAAATATAATAATTTAAATGATACTGAGAAACTGTTTTATTTGAAAGCATCACTTAAAGGTGAAGCAAAAAAAATGTTAGAATCATGTCAGGATAAATTTGAGTCGCTATTTCTGCACTTGAAAGCAGATATGAAAACAAAAAAAGCAGTTAGTTGATGCCCTTATCAATAATTTGTTGAACTTTGAAAAAATAAATGACTCACCTTCTCAGTTGAGATCACTGGTAAATAATGTTTAAAGATGTTTGAGATCTTTAAGTGTATTAGAATTTGATAGAAATAATTTATCTGATGTTTTGATATTAAATATTTTTATTGCATAAATTAGATATAGAATCTAGAAAAGCATTTGAACTAAACGCAAAATCAAATGAAATTCCCAAACTTGATGAATTTTTAGAATTTCTCGAAGAAAGAATTCGCATTCTTGAAGAAATAAACAAAGTTAGTTTTCCTAAGCAGAGCTATGCTACTAAAGTATCAAATCAATTAAGTCGTTCTAGAAATTCAAAATCCTTGGTAACTAAAACAAACCCTTTTCAAAAGTGTATTATGTGTAAAGAACCACACCCAATATATCATTGTTCGAAATTTAAGAGTATTTCTGTTTTTGAGCGGTATGATTTTGTTAAGGAAAATATAAGTTATGCATTAAATGCCTTTCTCCATCAACACGTATTA